CATGGCAGCCCAGCTCCAGGTTGAGCTGTTGTTCAGCATCTTAGCTGTAGAGGGCAGTGTCACTGGCCCTCACATGTGGGATCCGAACCGGGGCCCTCGTGTCCCAAGCCAGTTCTTAACCATCGTGCCGCTCGGCCGGCCCAACACCTTACATTTTAAATATACATTAAAGTACATAAAATATTATACATACCTTTATACTCACCACTAAGACTCTCCTCCCATCTCCTTCCCCTCCCTTCCCAGAGATAATCACTCTCCCGAAATACATTCTCATGTATATTTTGCCAATCTGTATACTGTTGTTTAATGTATTTAGATATACTTTATGTACCCTTTCACAACTTGCTTTTATCTTTTTAACTGTATTATGTTTTCAAGATTTAACCATGTTGAAACATATAACTAGTTTAATGGTTCTCAAAGTGTGGTCCCTGGACCAGTAAGCAGCATCAGTAACACCTGAGAACTTGTTAGGAATACAAAAGTTTGGCCCCACCCAAGACCCACTGAAGCAGAAACTCTAGGGGTAGGACCCAGCAATTTGTCCTTTCCCAAGCCGTCCTGGTGATTCTCTGATGCACCATAAAGTTTGAGAATGACTGCTCTAATTTATTCATTTTATTTGCTGTATAGTATTTTATTACATGAATCAGCCACAGTTTATGTATCTGTACTAGGGAATAATTCGATTTACTTTTTCTATTACAGAGAGTGCTGCATTGAACATATTAGTTCGTATCTCCTTGGGTACACATGTCAGAGTTTTCTAGGATATACACTTAGAAGTGGAACTGCTGACTTTGTAGTATATCACATCTTGAACTTAAGGAGGTTTAGCCAGATTGTTCTCCAAAGAAGTATTCATGTATGCTCCTTCCAGCAATGTATAAGTACCATTTCTAGGTATCCTTGCCAACTGTGGATATTTTCAGACTTTATTCATTTATTTATTTTTGCTAATGACTATAAGTGTGCGATGATATCTTTGTTGTTTTAGTTTTAATTTTCGTGAATTTAAGTGATATTGAGCATCTTTATGTAGAGGCTATTCAGGTTGCTTCCTTTATGAATTGCCTGTTGATATTTCTAGACCATTTTTTCTGTTGGGTTTGTTTATGTTTTTCTGATTGATCCATAGAAATTGTTTACATATTCTGGATACTGGATTCTAGAGTGAGGTCTTCTCTGTGGTTTGTCGTTTTATTTTATTAATGGTGTCTTGTCATTCGAATGTTTTAAATTTTAATGCATTCATGTTTCAACTTTTTGCTTTATGATTTTTAGCATTCTGTGTCTTGTTTAAGAATTCCTTCCTTTTCCTAATATCATATAGATATTTTCTTGGTAAATACTATTACTGTGTTCATTTTACAGGTGAGTCAGTTGAGGCACAGAGAACTTATATGACTTGCCCATGGTCACAGAGAACTGGAGGTGAGTGACTTGGGCTCTCAATGCTTGGGCTGCATTGCACTCCGCAGTTTAGGAACTGCTTTCCATCTTGTTCTGCCACTTGTCTCATGAGAACACTTCTCAGCGTTATTTTGCAGATGCAGAGGATGTGTAGAACTCAGATAGGCTTCAGGTTACGTGCAATTCTCTTTTACTATATAATGAAGCACTCTGGATTCTTAAAAATATCTTTACATTTTTTCAAATAACTTCAGATTTAAAGAAAAGTTGCAAAAAATAATATAAAGAATTCCTGAATGTCCTTCACCCATTTTCCCCAAACGTTGAGTGTTTTACCTTGTTTGCTTCCCCTCTCTCTCTCTC